AGTTTAAAATATATATTAATATAATTTTTCACAGATCCTATTAAATTTCTGATGATTCATGTTCATTTTCCAGGCTCAGAAATGTGTCAGGAGCATGCAACATGCAATATTTCAAGCTTCCAGCAACAATGCATTGACAGATGCCAACTAATCCTGTGTGCTAGAATGAGCTTATGTTACAATATGATTTAAAGTTGGGATTTGAATTCAATCTAACCATAAAAATGACGTAACCCAGGAGGATAAGTGTTCCAGTTTGCGAATTACGGAGAACATTTTATATTTAAAACTATCATTTCAAAGCAGCTCTGTCCATTAAGCCTATCGTGGAGCTCTGGATCTCTAACTACCTAATGACCTGGTTGCTATGCCTCTCTCACACTGACCTGCTGACAGCTTCAATTAAGCTGCTCATATCGCTTCTGGCAAAGCAAAGCTCAGCTCCCTCCCATCTCCTGCCATTTTTACCGGCAATCAAATAACAACATGGACAACCTGTGAAGAAAAGGCGAACAAAATGATCTCGTGATTTGCACATGAATAGTTTTGATTGCTACCGCTCCACTCTCATTCATCCCTGCGCTGGGAAGCGTCAGAGCTGAATCACCTGATTGAATCATCCGGGCTGCTCTGGATGCACATACAAATGCCATCACAAATCATCCACAAAGGTGACGTGCTGAGGGGTCAAAGACAATACGTGCTCGCCGGGACATGGAAATGCTTTCCATATCTACTGTTCTTTTATAGGCAGCAGTGACACTGTCATGTTTTCTTCACACAATTTGTTCATTTTAGAGAGCTTTTTTCACAAACATTACAGGGTATCTCGCTAAGCAGCAGATCAGAAATGGCTACACACAACACAGTTGTTCTATTACTGATGCAGTTTCAGGCTTCAGCAAGTACATCTCAATGTGCCTGTATCATACAATAATTTATTAGCGATCTCAGAAATAAACTTGTTTCATCTTCTCCATATCCTCGCCTACACAGCAATAACAAACATACATGTGAACCACTAGCATATATTCTTTAAATTCTCTGGATTTAGGTAAATTATGATGTGACTAGAGCAAGCCGCAACAGTGTTGTGTGAAGGGAAGATGACATGTTAGTCAAAGCTTGCAAAATGTTAGCATCAGTCTTTAACCATCTCATATTTAAAGGCTGAGTTTTGTTAAAATGTAGACAAAGATCATTGAAACCATTTCAACACTGATTAAAGCAGTTTAATGGCAAAAGCAGTGTGTCTGCTGGATCCTACGATCAGACGCTCCTTAATGAGCTGACGCTAACGTTGGCTTTGCTCAGCTAGGCTAGCACTTGCACAACTCACTTGGCAGAGCCATCCAATGGAGCAAATAAAAAACCCATTTATGTATCCATGCAAATCTAATATCAGATTTGTTTTTATTCCACTGCTGTAGGCGAGGTACTTGATTACGGCAATCTATCAGAACAGTCTATTAAAAGTGAAACAATGATATTGGAACATCGAACAAACATTCACCGATTTGCAAATACAAACAAGGACAAAAGCAAGAAGAGCAAGGTACCGACGGCAGATTTTCATCTCAGACTTTGTTTTGTCGGAATGAACACTTTCTGCCTGCACACTCTTCAAGAATATTCTTGTTCAGCAGCTTTTGTTCAGTAGTTTTAGGACACAGTTCTGTCAGCTCAGGTCAGTAAACTGTGCGCACAGAGATGCAAATATCTTTCTTCTCTCTCATGCAGTCACTCAGGGTCACATTATGAGGGGGATACGAATAAAAATGAGAGAGAGGGAGAGAGACACATGTGGAGGGAGGGGGATTTGCTGTACTTTCTTCAAGGCGCTTGTGAGCCATATGTTCAGCCCTGGGACACAACAAAACAACCAGAGAGGCTCAGCCAGAGCCCAGAGCCCCAGAGACACACTGATTCAGAGACATATGGGAAGCAGGCTGCAAAATGTGTGCACAGGTCAGACCTGTGGAGGAAAAGTGCCATTATTAGCAAACTGTCCAGCAATAAGGAGACAATTTGGAATTTAATTGAAAGCATTGGTGAAAAAGTGTGTGTGTTCAGTTTGAATATTGCTCAAACGAAGGACTATTGATGAACCGTCCAATGATATCAGATCCCAGTGAGTTGACAGAGACTTATAAATGACATAGATAGAAATGACATAGAAAAACGACTATCCACTTTTGGCTTTCAGAGGCTTTTAGATAGTAAAATGAGAGGACTGATGCCACTCATGCTGAGAGGCACAACAAGTAGAAAAGGGGAATAGCCAAGGAGCAGGTTATAATAACCCTTAAAATGTATTTAATTAATTTTTAAAGCTTTCATTTTTTTTTTTAAATAAATAGACATGATGTACTGTTAGAGAGATTTAGAGGTGTTTCTAGTTGCATTTTTGTTTTACCATCACACACAATTAGGCTGTACTTGTCTTTGAGCTGTGTTCAACTTACCAGCCGCTCTCTCTTGCTTTAATACAGGCTGTTTAGAGACCGACATAAACAAGTTGGATGGCCAGCTTTTTCCCATTGTTTCTATTTTAGCTATAGCTGCATCATTAGATTTCATGGATAAACAGATAAGAATCATGTTTAAGGATAATTAAAGCTCCTTGATGAACTTTTGGTTCCTTTGTGATTTTGGCATTGTCATTCTTTAGGGTTAGGGTTATCTAATGATCTTGCCCTGCACATGTGTAGGTAATATTCTGCTTTCTTTAAAGTCAATCCTATCACTGTCATCTTTGTTGTGGTGCAAAGGTCATTTCAGCAGTGCGTTGTAACAGCCGTTGTCTGCCACCTACCCTGCAACAATGGTTACAAGCTTTGAAAAGCACCATTTAAATCATCAAGGCTGTTACTTGTGGTCTAGTTTGCTTCTTTAGCTAACATAGAGGAATCTATATTGACTTCAGTTTGCTTTAAAGATTTTAAAGGTGCTGGTATTTGACCCTTGTTGCCACCAGACGCATCAAGGCTTGCTCTTCACCCCAAATTCTCATCTTTTTACCAAGCTACACCAAGCAGTAACTAGTCATAGCTTGATTGTTTTAAATACATACACTAGAGTTGTATCAATCTCTGACTCTATACTCTGAGTCACTGAGTACATAGGCCTATTTTCCCAAAATGGGATGTATGTTTCTTACATCGCAAATAGAGTAATCAAATAGAGTGATCACAATGCTGGTACGCTAGGCGCGCGCTGCAGCATTTATCAGTTTTAAATTTAAAAAGTATGCCAAGCACATCCAGAAGATTCAGAGGTAAAGAGAAAAACAGAGAGTGAGCAATGAAGCAAAGGAACAATCCCCCGAGATCTCAGTAAGAAAGAAAGAGGTGGATGATGGAGAAAGCACAGGCAGAGAGAGACGGAGGGAGAGAGAGAGAGAGAGAGAGAGGGAGAGGGAGAGAGAGAGAGAGAGAAAGAGAGGGAGTTTGCCTCCAAGCCTCGGCACAGAGGAGGATCAAAGGTTTGTGCTCTGCATCACAATGGACATCCGGTCACCAATACTGATGAGCCCAGTGTGTGATGCTCCATTCACGCGCCGTATATCTTATGGGTAAACAAGTGGTCATTGCATGGAAATCAATGGGTGACTTTACTCCAATCTGACTGCACATTCATCTGCAATGATGACACTCTGAGAAATCAGAATTCAAAGTGAGGACTGTAAAAGATGAACTTCTTCATTTATCTGAAGTTTCACTTCAGTGTCACACCCCCTAATCACTGTTTTTCTGTCTTATTTTTCTAGTATATGCCTTGTAAGCGGCATTTGCTGTAACAAACTGGCAACACAAATAAATTCCGTCCCCCACTTGTCGAGAATCTGCAGGTTTTTTTTTTTTTTGTCCGTTGCATATACGAGCCAATTTTTTAAATGCAAAAACCCTGGGCTGTGAAAGCTGTTTACTCTGCATTGTATACATGCAGCTGTGTTTTCCTTGACAGTTTCTGTGCCACTTAATGCAAACCGACATCCAGTTTAAGCTGCTGCACACAGAGCACAGCATGAAATGATCACTAAATGTTGCCAGACTAACCACTGTATAATCTGGTAAACATGCCGTCGAATCAAAAACCAGCCGTGGGGTTGTTACCAGAATCATGCTGTTTGGGCCGGTTTAGGTCAGAAGAACTGTATTTTACTTCAACAGCAAATATTATCGAATAGGCTTCCAGTATCATACAGCTTGTAAGAAGGTTACTTTTATAGAAATGCATATTGGTAGATTGTTCAGCATTATTTTGTGTTTGATTTCAGGAATGCAAATTGGAGCACATCTCTCAAAAATACATAAATTATATAACATTATGTTTCATGTTTCTGGCAACACTACAGTGTGCTCAGCATTATTTGATTTTCTTTCCTACGCTTTAACACGGCGTGCTTCACACAGCATGATGATCAGAGGATTTGTCCCAGATTACGGACGGTCATTACTGTAATACACTGTTTATGTGTGACCTAATGTAGATTACTTTATGACTGTGGTAGTGTTGTGCAGCGTAAGCTATCCGATCATGCCTGGGATATAAAAAAAAAAAAAGAAATCTGCCGTAGCAACATGCTCTACAAAGACATATCCTCCTAACTTATGAATCTTTTATGTGGAATATAAACATAAATCCAATGTGAGCTGTCAAAACAGCCGTGTTATAGTACTTGAGAGAGAATGCATTAACTATTTTTGTTCAGGGATGTGTTTCTGATTTCCTTCCTCGGCTGCCTATCAGGTGTGATTAAAAAACGAGGGGATCATTTTTTTCAGATTGAAAGAGGAATTCATGTTCTATTAATTGTGGATTACAAAGGCATAAACATTTTAGAATTGGAGACAGAAAGGCCGTGTCAATATCACGCTGTAAATAAAACAATTCATTGCATCCGCAAAATTAAAAAAACAGACGAACAATAAATTAATCTGACAAATGCAGTCACTCATGGAAATGCACCGGTGTGTATTTGCAAGGGACATAAAGTGTCTACATCCACGTTTTTAATTTAGTAATCATCTTGACAAATGTGACGTTTTCCCAAAATAGCTGGAGTCATGAAGATTTCCATATTACCTCTCATTAGTGTGTGTTTTGCTATCACAGATGGCTGTAAATACTCTGATGAAACACTTGTGACATCCAGTGGGATTCTGTCCCTTAAACTTGAGAGCCTATTAATTGTCTGCAATTATCCTCGGCAAGTGTAGCATCTGTCAGAAGTAATTCTTCACTTCCCCCACGAACAGAAATTCCATAGTGGTAAAGGTTGACTGCGACATTCACTATTTATTGCACAGTAGGGCTTGTACAGTCCAATTTTGCCATCACAGGTCGAAAAGAAAAAAAACAAACACACATCTGCTTTACCAAAAAAACCTCTCCATACCCCAAATCTTGTGTGTATGATGAGCAACATTTGAGTTTTGTTGAGACAGTAGCTTGCATACGGGAAATCTATGAAGACAGTGCCTTGTATTGGTTTTACTCATGAAAAAAGAAACTAAATAATGCAACATTTGTAAACTAGCTTACTTCGTGTTGAAAGTGTGCTGTTCTGCAACAAAAGGGAATCATCCATAGGTCCCTCGGTGCATTCAAAAGATTTAAAATTTAGTGCAAATTTGAAGAAAAAAACAAAATTACAGAAACAAAAAAAAAACAACAAACTATGGAAATAATAAGGCAACAATTATAAATATATCAAAAATAGTCGTTAGAGAACTATCTTTGTTACAAAAAAGGTACAAAAGTTTTGTCCTGTACCAGTGAGAGGGACATGTTTTTCAGTTCCTCCACTGATCTCACAGCCTTGTATCCCAGCTGGTGGAGTACTTTCTGACACACAGTCTGTGTGTATTCGACCATGTCATGAGACAGTTTCAAACGCCAGCTCTCCGCGTTAGCTGCCGAGTCCCTCACTGTACCAAACTTGTGTTTTGCTGAGGGCTCATTGCTGCCCCGAGTGTTTGCATGTATCCAGTCTTCCACGTTTTTATCCATAGCCAGCCCCAGGTAATCATAGATCTCCTTCGTCTTTACAAGTGGATTCCTGGCTAAATCCTCATAGCGAACCAGCATGTATTTCCCTTTCAGCCAATAGGGATGGCTCAGACCGGTTGACACAGAACTTAGAAAGTCTTCACACACAACTGTAAGCTGACTTAAGTCTAAATTATAGGGTCTTCGCCCTGTGGCCCGCCAAATGCGCCACAGGCGATACGTATCCCTGAATGTCTCGATCCTGGATGACAGGATGCCACGTGGGTCTCTGACGAGTTGAATCACTTTGATGTTCAGCCGCGGGTCCTCCACCAAAGCACGTAGGTCTCCGATCTCAGGCACCCGCACAATTTTAATCGCCACATGCCGTTTCTCCCGGCAAGCCTCCGTCGCCAAGGTCATGTTTAGAGTAGCACACTTCTTAACACAATCCCCTTCCTCCACATTCACGTCAGCAGGACCAAAGGCATCACATACAGGTTGCTGGCACAACGCTCGGCTGGCACCGCGGCGGAACAGCTTATCAGTGGTGTGATTGGTGGGCGTAGGTTTGATGTAGCTCTCCAGGAAGTAGAGGTCACAACCGTACAGGCTGCGCAGGAGGTCTCTGCTGGCGCCGAGCATCACACGCCGGTCCGCGGCATTACGGCTGTGTGACAGACGTGGAATCAGTGTGGTCTGAACATGATAAAGAGGCTCAAACAGGTAGAACACCTCCTGGTGCTGGTTGAGCAGCTGGCCAACAAATGAGGATCCGCTGCGGGTGGTGGCTAACACCAGGATGTGCGTTTTGCGCGTGGCATTGATGGGAAAGTAAGGGTAGTCGTCGCAGCCTCCAACGCCGGCCGCGCCGCGCTCAAAGGGGGGATCTGTCTCCTGGCCCCCCAGACCACAGTTCTGGGGGCTGGGCAGTGGGCACAGCTGGAAAGGCTTGGAGGTGAGCGTCCGGATGGCTGTGTACTGGATGGCAATGGAGGCCAAAGCCAGCAGAATCACTGCCTTCCAGGAACATTGCATGGCTGAACCACTTCATTTAGACACAGCGGTTCATGCCAGGTCCTCCCTGTGAACACACAGATGTTTTTTTTTTTTTTTTTTACTGAAACAGTTCTAACAGTATTCTGACTGTTGTGTAAATATCTTATCTCCTCTTAGATTAACAACATACTTCAGGGTGAATCACAAAGTACAGAATAGAATGAAATGTAACAATACAATCTAATTTGAATATTCAAATATCCTGTGCGAGTTGAGGGCGAGTCATGGGTAGGGTTTCATTCAAGCGCTATAGAGGTTCATTTGATTTATAATTATCGGGGGGGGGGAAACTGCATGTTTGTCTGCAGTCTGGCACTAAAAGGTTGTACTGAACAAGAAAAGTCTTCAATAAAGATTGCTGTAAAACCCTGAATCCTGTGACTTAATCATTCCATTAGTCTCCTGTGCCTCCTCCTGGTGCTACAGCCTCATTTCTGCAAATCAAAATAGATAAAAGGGAAAGCTCTGAGCCCATAAGTTTGGTTCACATCCAATCAACTAATGCTGACTGCCAAATACATGCACAGCAGCACAGTTAATCTGAAGCAAAAACAGGCTGTATACACTATCTAAATACGGCAGCAAGCTTTTTTCCCCCTTTTTTTCCCAAGATTTATTTTGGGGCTTTTTGCCTTTATTTGGTAGAACAGTCGATAGAGTAGGAAATCGGGAGAGAGCGAGGAATGAAATGAGGGAGAGGAGCCACAGGTCGGACTTGAACCTGGGCCGCCCTCAGCCTCCGTACATGGGGAAGCGACCTAACTGCTAGACCATCTGCGCCCCCCCAGCACACTTTAAAAAAAAAAAAACTTTTACTTATAAATAAAAAACAGCTACACTTTTTAAGTTTATTATGTCCTCTATGAGTTAAAAGAAATGCACCCAAACGTACTTAATAATTATCATTATGGAAATGGAGCACTTCAGCAAGCCCACTATAATACAAACAATACCGCAGCACACCCTATACATCTATACTGGCTCCCTGTAATCCAACTTGTCTGCATCTAATTCAAGGACCCTGTTTGGCTGATTGGAGAGTGTGAGCATTGTGCCTGTGCTCCACTTGTTCATCAGGGAGAGAAAATAAAAAGTGGTATGCAGTTCAGTAATGTAAACAGAGTTGTTCAGAGATTTACAGACAATGTCACATCAAGGGGGAAATTCTGCAAGAGTAGAATTTATACAATAGAATAAAAAAAAAAATCTCTCACTCAAGGGTAATATATTTAAAAAAATAATGATGTTGTTCTGTTGACTTTGGCCTTGATGCAGCGAGCTTTGATTGTGTAAGTAAAATGAAGGCTTAGCATCTTCACTTCAGAAGCCATGTCTGAGACTTTTAAGATCCAGCAATGGAAATGATGCATCATGGTATTTTTTTCCTGACTCTAAAGCACAATATGGACGAAGGCTACTTTAAAAATAACACCCCCGAACTGTTTCATAAGAGCTGTTAAATATCTGTTTCCCTCTGCACTGCATAAAGAGACTACAACCTACTGTTTGTGAGAAGGAGCTGACTATGTTGATGCATATACAAAACTAAACAAAAATACTGACTTCAACAGCCAAAGATAGCAACTCAAACGACTTGTTCTACATCCTTTCTGCTGCTGAAATTAAATTTTTGAAGGGAAAAACTGCACTCTTCTTCAGCCGGGAACAGATTATGGTTCCCTGACAGAGATTTTCCGCGATGCAGACATCCTCACCAATGCTGCGATAAGACAACATAGCACAAATGAAAGCATCCCACCCAGCCGCAAGTGCTCCAAAAAGATAATCCCTAAAACAAAGCCTGCGTAAATCATCAGATGTGATAGAAAACAGTGATAACATGGAGTAAATTCACACTTTGTTTCCGTTGTACCTTGTTGGCAGTTGTAGTAGTCTCATGATGCGAGGTACGTCCATGAATCACGGCTGCTTTCATTTAGTCCTCAACCGTTTTCCTCCGTGCGCTTTCTCTCGGGTATGGGAGAGAATAAATGCGCCCTGCAGATCCGTACTTTCCATATAAAGCTGGTGCGAGGAGCTTAAAGTTGACCGATTGGCTTTAGAGGCAGAGAAAAAGGAAAGAAAGAGTGGTGGAGGAGCGTAAAAGCGAGCGGTCGTGTTGATATTACGCAGCATAGACGGCGAGACTGACCGGAGAAAGCGACAGCCGGGCTCCCCTTAAATGATGCGCAGCAGAGGCTGAGAGTGTGTGAGGTACACAAGGAGCGACTGTCTGGACCACCCCAGACCCCTCCCCCTTTCCACCTGCCCTCTCTCTCTCTCTCTCTCTCTCTCTCTCTCTCTCATACACACATACATACACACACACAATCATCAACCTCAGTCTCTTGCCTGCCACATCACACACGCACAGACCCCCTTCCCTCCCCTTCTCTTTTCTCAATCACACACACACACACACACACACACACACACACACACACACACGCACACACACACACACACACACACACACACACACACACACGCACTCTCTCTCTCTCTCTCTCTCAACCACACAACCACACACACTCACAGATCAGTTCTCCTTTGCCAATGTGGCAGCTAGTCCTCGCTGATCCCATAAACAATTTAATATTTGAATTGTATGCAAATGTTTGATTTTTTTGCATGTAACTATTCCCTTTTCCCTGGACACAAATGGAGGATGGTTTTAGCTGACTTATCTCACGTTATCCTACCTGTATGATTCCGCTGTGAAAAGAGCAGTAGGGCCGGTTATTTGAGGGCTTTTCATGGCAGAAAATGTCTTCCCTTATGATTTCTCCTTTGACATGAGCTCGTCACATCAGCAGTATTAGCGCCCTGGGCTCTGTGATTCTGCAAAACCCTTTCTCCAGGGCTTCTGCAACCCAGTTAGTGATAGAGGAGTGGGTGGGCCGATGATGATGAATATCATTGTACCAAGTTCACACAGTCTGAAGGCAGCAGGACGGATCAAGACAAAAAAACAAAGCTTTATAGGGTCGGTCAGGCAAAGGATAGATTGCGCAAATAAGATATTTCCCATTTTATAAAACAACACTTATGAAGACTGAGGCATACAGCTGTATTTTTATCAAATGCATGTTTTTTTTTTTACTCTTTCGACAGTGTACAGCTACAGCCATAATAGAGGGCCTTGGTTCTTATCTATGCCATTAAGACTCCATTCATGGATGGATGTACTGCAATGACATGATGTAAATCATGTCTTTTCTGGATGTTCTATGTAAATTATAAAGGGCCCATTGTCTTCTTCCTCTGTCTACTTTTACACACAGCCCTGCTCCTACGTGATGTCCCTATAACTACCTCCTTTTTTATATGCAAGTTAAAAGCCATCAAAGATTTTTTTTTTCCCTTTTAAAGAGCATTTTTTGGCCTTTACCTTTATTAGACAGGACACCTAAAGATAGACAGGACATTTAGGGAAGAGTGATTGACGTGTGAATAGGTCAAGAGTCAAACCATGGCCTGTATAAAATATGCACGCAGTCTCAGTGACAATACCAGCCGCAGAGCCAAACTTTTATTCGTCTGGGCTGGCCAAACTGGAGCACTAGCTAACACACACCCAAAAGAAAAGCATTTATTTACCCTGTCCATCTGCACTAATTGTTTTTTTTGGTAACTAAATAACATTTAAGTATATACAGTAAAACATCCCTTGGTTAAAAAAAAATGTTTAACATTAACAAACACAAGTTTTACAAAACAGAGAGGCAACATAAAAATCTTCTTTGCTTAATTTTTTGAAGAACTCAAAATAAGTCACATGTCCAACATCACAATTTAAAGAGGACATATGATCCCCCTTTCCCACCTTTTCAAACAGTCCCCTGTGGTCTAAATGAAACATCTGTGCTGTGCTTTGGTCAAAATATAACATGAATCAAGCACCAGAGGAGGTTTGTGACCCTGTATAAACCAGCTCTCTCAGAACGCTCCGTTTTGGTGTGTGTGTCTCTTTAAATGCAATGACCCCCCCCCCCTGAGTTTTCCTGGTAGACATCACTCCTCTGTAGTGAGAAAAAAAATGGTGGATCCGAAACATTTTCGCTCTAGGCTGGGGGTGGAGTCCATGGGTGGAGATACCAGGGGAGGGGACCAGAATCCCACTGTGATGTCACAAGGAGAGCACATTTGAAACTTATGAAGGTGCACTGGTGGCGCTGGTGGCGCAGTGGTTAGGGTGCTTGCCCCATATATGGAGGCTATGGTCTTCCAAGCGGGCGGCCCTGGTTCGAATCCCACCTGTGGCTCCTTTCCCACATGTCATTCCCCACTCTCTCTCCCTGATTTCATCTTTAACTCTATCCACTGTCCTATCTCTCCATTAAAGGCACAAAAATCAAAAAAAGAAACATATGCAGACCACAAACAAAATACTGGATGGGTTTATTTCACATTTTGTGGGTCGGTTGACACTCAGGTTACCCAAATATATGTTAAAAAACCATGTAAAAGTCCAATATGTCCACTTTAAAGTACTAAAAAAAAAAAAAAATGTGCCACGTTGAAATGCAAAGAATGCTTTTAGCAGCCTGTTGCAACACTGCAAAGATGAATCTTTTTACACTGTTAGTAACATAATTAGCAAACTTGTAAATCTTCTTAGCTTGATTCTTTAGAGAGCAAAAGTAAATGTATTGGTAATTAAGTTGATTGCAATTTAGATGGTGTGCATGAGTTTTTATGGAAAAAGCAAATAATTATTTAAAACTGAAAGTACTACCATGAGCCAGTTGAAAACAGCTAGAATAGTGGATTTGTATTTTAGTCCTGATTTGGAAAATAGCCAATCACATAATTTCAGAATCAGAATCAGATTTATTGGCCAGGTATGCTTACACACACAAGGAATTTAACTTTGGAAAACTGTGCTCTCTTTGATTTTGGGTTGGCAGCTGGAGTGGCCAATCCAATTTCAAGGGGGGCCTATGCCACCCCTGGTCCTCTGGACACGCCCCTTCCTATCTAATACATTATGTGCATACATTTTTTTGCATTGATGCCAATAATTATCAGTCTTTTGTCTCTTTTAAAGCATGAAAGATTCCCTGTGACCTTTAAGTGACAAGGATCTTGTAAATGTCAAGATCCCCCGAGAAGCTATTACATTTTCAAATTGACTGGATAGATTGGCAAAGAGTTTACATTCAACCAAAAGGCCACGAAGTGTTACATTTGCCATGAAATTAAAAATGAAATACCACATTCAAAGAATGCTGATAAGAAACAAAACCAGCTGCTACATTGATCTAAAAGTGCATTTTTACTCTTGGTTATATTCATATTGATTATTTTATAATGGAGCCTCTCTTTTTCTCTCAGTCAATTCTCAAGTGGAGGTTTTCCAGACTAAATTTTCCCTCCAAAATCTGAGCTCATGAGATGTAGGTCCGGCTATCAGAGTCTGGGGACCTGGACCATTTTGAGAAACTTGTGAGTCGAGCACACAGCCTATCATGATGGAGGACCGTGTGGAATTGGTTCCTCCATTTCTCTGGTAGAGGTCACAGAGGAAGTTAAAAAGCTCTGAAGTGGCATGGTGCAAGAGATACCGCGATTCACTCTGAGATGCTGAAAGCTCTCCATGTTGATGAGCTGTTGTAGCTGACACATACAAGCAATTCCATTTCACACAGGTGTCAAATAGCCCAGGAAAGCCAACCTGCATTAAAAAAAATAATTTGAAGTTTTAGCATTACATTTTCATTTTGGAACAACTCTTGAAACTAAATGTTTTTACATTGTGACTAACATATTACTGTACAATGTCAATGAACAGAGCACTGACTGTGATTGAACTGTACTTGAACTTAGCAAGTAGTCAAATATTCAAAATTATACAGGGAAATGATTAAACTCATGTTTTTTACATACAGTATAGCTTCCCAAAAAGCTTGTACGAGTTGTGTAATTTATATATAGATTATTTATTTCACGCTCTAGGGAGGAATCTTCAGTTCGTGTTGATCTTGGCGCCCCCTGTGGCCAAAGTTTGTAACTCTTACGTCAATTTGTCCTCTCCATGTATTAGTAGTGATTTCTCATGAAAAATCACATTTTTCTGACACCTACCCTGCAGCACCAGTTTCAGGCATTTGTGATAAATGTAAAGGAATAATCTGTCTCCTTCATGATGGTCTTGCTTACGCTTTAAGATCATATAGAGGCATTAGTATTATTTCAGACTGTTTTATAAACACCTAAAACTACTCACAGTAGCTTTAATAAAATGGCTTTAACACAATGAAGATGAATTCAAGTTTAGCTACATTTTCACCTTAATGTATTCAGTTATTGTTGCTTCCCAGTGAAATCTTTACATTTCAAAATTGAGTTATTAGGGATTTTTTTTGGCCTCTAAAACTGACCTGCCAATACGACCCCAAAAATAAATGATAAAACGATTTATTTTGGGCATTTTGTGCCTTTATTGGAGAGATAGGACAGTGGCCAGAGTCGGAAATCAGGGAGACAGAGAGTAGGGAATGACATGCGGGAAAGGAGCCACAGGTGGGATTTGAACCTGGGCTACTCGCTTGCAGGACTAGCCTTCATACATGGGGCGCGCGCTCTAACCAATGCACCACCACCGCCCCCGATAAAACTGTTATGACTCAGTTACACAGCAAGTTATGTTCTCATCAGAATATACAGTCTTTTGTACGACATGACCTTCTACATCTTCCTACACGCTGGACGGATGGAGTAGTAGCTGTGAGCGTTTCATAATGCAGATCAGGAGTTCAAATTGGCGAACAATTGGAAGTACAAGCAGTGTATGTAAAAAAGGCTGAACTCAGGCAAAAATAGGATACTTGTGCTTGTTTTCTTTCCAACATATTACCACTTGTTCTCTCTTACGGTGTCACAGTCCGTTCCCAGGACAACATATGCACACTGTTCGCTTGTACGGATAACATGCACTTTCAGAGGCAATCGTCTGCCCAGCAGGTCTTTGATTGCATCTCCCTTTGTTCATGTTTACAGTCACATTTATTTGCCCTTTCCTGAATGCTCTGCTGAATTGCCTGTGTATTGTCTTAACCTTGCAGATGAAAGGCCCCTGGATGGCCTTAAAGCAGGGCCACAGGGAGGGGAGCGTAGCAGCAGCTAAACAGCTCTGAGTCCACGGCCGTCTCCAGACTGTTGATGTCAATGAACCCAGCTGGTGGAGGCCTCGTCAAGGGACGAACCACCACACTGA